CTACTCTGCAGGATGTATGATATATAACGGCACGGGGTTGTGACCCCCAGGTTGAGAACCACTGTCTTAGAGCTTTAGTCAGACAACCAACATTTGAGATAATTGCTGATATCTTGGGCCCCAAGAAAATGTCTGTATCCTGTCAAATCTCAGGTCCATCCTGAAGGAAGCATATCAGTGTTTGTAGAATGACTTCAGCTCAAGCATGGAGCTTGTTGATTCCCTGAGGACAGCATGAGTTTATACATTGAGCATCCCTTGCTCTCTTGCTCCAAGGATGGTGACAGAAAAAGAAGAATGGAGCTTGGCTAAGACTTTCCTGTCTACACTACTGTGGTGGTTTGAATGAAAATGGCCCCCATAGGCCCACAGGAAGTGGCACTAGTAGGAGATGTGGCCTTGTTGGAGGCAGTGTGTCACAGGGGGTGGGCTTTGAGGTCTCAGAAGCCCAAGCCAGGCCCAGTGTCATTCTTTCTTTCTGCTGCCTGCCAATCCAGATGTAGAACTTTCATCTCCTTCTCTAGCACCACGTTTACCTTCATGTCACTATGCTTCCCACCTTGATGACAAGGGACTAAACCTCTGAACTATAAGCCAGCCTCAGTTAAATGCTTTCCTTTATAAGAACTGCTGTGCTTATGCTGTTGCTTTACAGCAATATAAACCATGACTAAGACAATGACAATAAAAAATTTTCGGGTGGGGGATATGAAAGCCAAGACTCCCACTCCTCTCTTGGAAGCTTGGTAACCACAGGCCTCATTGGTTGTTTCTGTCCTTCAGTTACATCCTGATGTACCATAAAGCCATTACAGTCATCCACATTTCCTTCTACCTTTTATGCTTACTAGTCTATGGTCCTAGCACAAATAGAGGAAGTCCTTGGGAAAGATGCTTATTCCCACCCATGGCTCCACCATGAAACCCTGCTATTCATATTGCCAATTTCCTCTCAGTTCTGTGCAACTGACTTGTTCAAGGGAATTGGGGAGAGCTAAAACAAACAAGCATGTCTTCTTCCTAGTGGGCCCTGAGAGGTGAGGGGATGTTTCCACAGCCTTCATCTCTTCCCTGTAGACCAATAGTTCTCAACACACGGGCCACGACCCTTTGGAGGGGGTCACATATCAGATATCCCTCATATCAGATATTTACAATATGAGTCAGAACAGTAGCAAAATTACAGTTATGAAGTGGCAATGAAATAATTTTATGGTTGGGGGTCACTACAACATGAGGAACTGTATTAAAGGGTCATAGTGCTGGGAAGGTTGAAAACCACTACTCTAGACTGTTCTTTGCAGCTTGAACAGTGATGACAAAGTCCAATGTCTGAGAGTAATGTTTACCCCATGATTCATAGTCCTTCTTACAGGACTCTGTATTAGAATTCTTCAATAAATATGAACATGTGGGTTAACCTAAAATACTCAAGCTGCCACTCTGGCTCCTACTTCCTTTACTCTCGGTTATCTGTGTTAGCTTCAGTAGGGCCGTTGACCAGGTACAGGAGGCCTGGGAGGTGAGTTCCTGAGATTAGGATAGAACTCAGAGCTGAGTGTGGTGGTGTACACCTTTAATCGCAGCAATTGGGAGGCACAGGTGGCCAATCACTAAATTCCAGACCAGCTGGGTCTACATAATGAATCCCGGAACACCCAGGACCATATAAAGAGACTGTCTAAAAACAAAACAAAATAAAGAACAACAGGACTCAGACTCTGGCTTGCAAAGTCTTTTGGATCCACCAGAATACTCTCTGTGCAGTGCTTGAAAAACTACTGTGTCCTGCTTTGCATGAAGCTGCTGAGCAGTCAGTGGCCGCATGAATGGTTCATAGTTAGGCCTTGCGATTCTGGGGACATTGTTTCTCTTTTACTTCCTGTTTTTACCCCAGTCATCTTAGAGGTAAGGAGACAGATTCTCAATTAATGATTATAAAACTCTCCTGAACTTCATTCATATTAGTGAAAAGCAGTGTCACCCACCTTTCCATTTCTCCAGTGACAACTGTGGGCAGTGTTGAAACTGTTTGAGAAAGGTAGCTAGTGTGTCAGTTTCAGACTGCTGTGACAAATGTCTGAGAGAGCAACTGGAAAAGCAGGGAAGATTTCTTTAGGTTCATTGCCAGGTTACTCTACTGCCATGGTCCTTCCGTGAGTCAGAACACCACGGCTGAAAAAGGTGTGGGGGTCCCCAGTAGCTCACTTCACAGCAGCCAGGAAGGTGGGGGAGAGATAGGAAGGTGCGCCCAAAGGCACCCTTCCCCAGATTTACCTCCTCCAACCAAGCTCTACCTTTTAAACTTGCTACCATCTTCCCAAATAGCACTGCCTGCTGTGGATCAGTCTGGAAGACATTTCCCATTCAAGTCACAGAGGCTGTAGAAGGAGCTCACGTCTGCATCTGCACACGAGCTGCACAATTTCTGTCCTTTCTGCCATTCCGTGGAGCTGAGGGCTGCAGGCACTTTGCCCCTCCCCTTTTCTCCTCCATCCTTCCTATTGAACTTCCTGAACATCTCGTATCTGCAATTCAAAGGGAGAGCGGAAGCCACAACAGCAGATGGCTTATTTTCCTGGATACTGAGTCTGTGATCAAGCAGTTCAATGTTGTGACAGCCATAGGTAGTTTACCCATGACCGTCTGAATCCACACATTTATCCACTCTCCCCTTCAAGAGCTGTAGAAGGGAAGGAAGAACCATGGCCTTGGGTGACTAAGATGGGTAGAAGACAATAGTCACCCCTGTTCCTCCTCCCTGCTCTTGTCTATGGGAGGTGAAGGCTATCACCAGCCTTCACTGCCAGACAGCCTGAAGCAACGGGCCCCATCTCCTCCCTCAAGCCTTTCAGCTTTCCCACATCCACTGAATACACCATATACCTTTTAAAAAAGAAAGCAAGATATGTACAGAAAACAGCAAAAGAAAACCTACTGACTTAAAATATGGCTCCCCTTCCTCAGATGGTAAAAATAGAAGGATAGTTTCAGGCTTTTTTTTTTTTCCCGGTATTTATTACATATTTGCTTTTGAGACAGATACAAACAAACCATTCTCTTCCACCACACACAAAAAAACAGCCATTCTTGTGATATTTTTTAAAGTGCATTTCCCCTCTACCATTGTGTACAAAAATATTTCTTAAAAACATGCAGAAGTTTTTGGACAAGGCACTTTTAGGCATAAAATGATGACAAGTTGTCAGTTGAATATTCACATTAAAGCAAAAGTGTAACATCACATGGATAGTTGAAGTCCTCGTGCCCTGGGGGTCTCTGAGAACGAGCAGCAAAACCGTGGAAACACTCACTGCTTTGCAGGTTGAGCTGGGGGTACTTCACAGCCTTCAGCAGGAGAAACTACTCTTCCTTTATTTCTTGTCCTCCACTTCAGGAACACCCCCAGATTGTCTCTGGAAGATCCTGTTATAGGTAAGATCCCATGATTTCTGGAACATCTTATCTCCAGTTTCTGAGATCATGCCAGGAGATGCAGGTAAGTGAAGACCTTCCCAGAATGAAGAGCCACCCAGCTTACATCTCAGGGATAAAACAACTCCAATCATTGACTCAAGTTGCTATAGTTTCTGGAGAACTACAGTCTTCCATTATTTATCAGCTTTCCTATAAAAAATTCTTACAACCCTCAAGTGCTTCTTGCAAGAAACCTGGAAAATTTTTATCATACAACAGTCTATAGCACAGCTTATTTATTGTAGCCATTTTGCAAAAGCACCCTAGGGAATTTGGGGAAATAAATATGAAACAAAAATGGAGTTGCCTTCCCTTCCTGGATTATAGTGTCTGGAATAAATGCTGGGATTAGGGTCCATTCATCACCATAACCAAACACTGCATGAAGGCAGAACTCCAGGTCAAGCTTGCAGTGGGATCTTCAAGCAAGAAGCCTGTTACCCTCTGAGGCGTGTAGGTTTGTCTACAATGGTGAACTATGAACGAAGCAGAGAGTCTCTCAAGGCAGCTCCTGAGGCTATCTCAGAGTCACGGGACAGACAGGGTCAAAAGGAGGAGGACTGTGTTGGAGGCAGAAAACAGAAGAAAGATTCTTTAGCGTCTCAGTGAGGGACAGCCTCGATGAGGGAAGTCAAGCACACAGGCTGGTTCAGTGGGAAGGGTCTCAGCAAGCAGGGGACCATGTCCTCTGGGCTGAGTGCTGGGGTGTACATCCCAGGTGTGCTGGCTGGGGCTTTCGATCAGTGCCCCAGCGAGAAAGCTGGGGCAAATCAGGGTAAAAGAGGTGGGGGTCAGGAAGGATACATAACATGAAATTACCATATTTCATATTTTGACACGGAATATCTAAAGATATCATTCCATACCATTGAACAGACTTCATTCTGTAGTTACTTGGGGTCCTTTTCTTTTAAAAGCCATCTTTAGTCTGCTACTCTGTGAATAACAGTGCATCTGGCGCCTTACCGAATCGAGGAAAGAACACTTCTCGGCACAGAATAAAATCTATGACCCATAAGAGATAGGTTTTGCTTGCGTCCAATTTAAATCTAGCAGGTCCAGTCACCATAACTGGAACATTTAGGAGTATGCTCATCTAGCAGATCTATGGTATGCTTAAATTTCAGCCTGACTCACGAATGTGATTTCCCCATAGATAGCAGCGGGTCACAAAATACAAAGCACAGATTACAGATCAGTACCAGTTTTAGGAATAAGAAAAATCAGACAAAATAGCACTTAAAAAATCAAAACACTTAAAACTTCAAAAGTGAAAAAAAAATAAGATAAAAAAGAAGTCACACATGCTAAGATCAAAAGCATTTGATACCTGCCTGCTGACAACTTTTGAACCCAGAGGGGCACAGGATCATGTCCAGCCCCCAACCCCCAATCCATGAAGCTGTGCACCTCTTTCCCTGTTGCCTCAGGGAAACATCGCTTCAGTAAGAAAATTAGACATTTTACCAATCTTAAAAAAACAAAACAACGCCCCTAGAGTTCTACAAATATGCATGTAAAAATAGTTTTCAAACTCCCCTATAATTTTAATTTGCCCAAGAGAAAATCACAGGTTGTGGGGGTCCATCCAACAGTAACAGTTCCAGGAGTCTAAATTACTACTTGATAATGCACTATAGTCCAATATGGTTAAGAAAAGAATTCATCTTTGAGTCCTCAGAGTTGACAAACATTTAAAGTAACATAGAAAAACTCAGTCCCCCCCCCCTTACAATACACACCATAAATAAAAGTTCCCAGTCAATGTCCTTGGGTGCTTGTGAAGCATCCGGAATAGGATTGTATACTTCAGAGAAAGTGAAGCATTTTCTGGAGGCTTCGAGGACATACCAGACATGCCATTTGGAAGTCTCAGATGCAGCATTGCAGTAGACGCTCCAGAAGAGGAGAGCTATGATCCTCCCATAACCAAAACAGCTCACACACCAGCCAGGCAAGTGAAGACAGATCTAGTCGTTGAGTTTTCTGGTAATTCAGGGATAAAACTGAGTGCTTAGAAAGCAGCCCCCCCCCCAAAAAAAAGCCAAGAGGAAAAGCTAAAACTCAGGACTGTCTCACCTTGTCACAATGCTGTGCCCCATGATTCCACAAGGAGATCAATGATTTTCCAATAGCTGGTGTGTTGCTCCCTGTTGGATTATAAAGGTGGGGTGGGGGGGGAAGGAATGCATATCCCAGCCACAAACTACTTATTTGCCTTATCTCATCTGGATCCCTGGATGGGCTGTGGGGGAGAATAAATGTAGAGCATGAGCTTGCACAGAAAGGGGCTGCCTCCATCCCTCTTCTGAAGTGGCAGGGTAGCAGGCCAGGGTTGCATGGAGCTGAGACAAAGGTGGCTCCGAGGATGTGCCAGATGAAGGCAATACATGGAAAAGCATGGGCGGCCCAGGACCCAGAGGTCAATGGTAAGGCTGGAGACTGGTGGCTTCTGGGTGACTGGCTTTCCACACCCAAGCGCTGAGGAGAGGCCAGCTTCCTCCATTCTTGCCAGGTTGGCTCCTCTCCAGACCATCCTGGCACCCTCCTGTGCATTCCTCCGTAGCCGACCTGGATGCCACAGAGGACCAGCACACCTGCTCTTCTCAGAGCAAGAAACCAGCTGTGATGGAAACACCCTGGATTTGCTGGTTTATGAAAAAGGTGAACAGGATCCTAGCTTTTCAAAAACCATCCAAATGGCAGTTCAACTTCGCTCTTGTCTTGCATTCTCTGCTGTCTTGCATTCTCTGTTCCATCTTGATCAGAGTCAGACTATAGTCATTAGTAGTAGGGTCCCAGCTTTTCATATCCCAGGTAACTAGGCCACTCTGGAAACAGGCCATAGGAACACCGAGGACTTCCAAACTGGTCAAAGGATATTCCAAAATCCGGTCCATTGTACGGCTCAGTCATTCCCTGAGCGGACTGGAGTTCAGCCCGGATGATCCTGTAGTTTTTGCCTTTGTTGCTGTCCCAGTATGACTGGCCGTTACACTCATAGCACACGGCAAACTCCATTCTTTCATAAGACTGAATTTTCTCAGGTAGGCTGATGTCAAAGGAGAACGTGTCCCTGTCTGAACCAGCATAAGTGTCTTTCACATACTGGCAAGGGAAGTCTGTGAAGCTTTTCCAGGTGTCAAATGTCATTCTGATCTTCACAACCTTCTCGAATGCCAGGTTCTGGACCTTCACGGTCCCTGCAATGGCTTTGTCCTTGAGCACACAGTTTTCGAGGCAGACATGGTTGGCCTGAAGTCGATTTCTGAAGTCTAAGTAATCGGCAGAAGGCTGCGGGAAATCCAAAACAAAGCTTTCGCTCTCTGCTGTCGTCAGACTCACGATGTTGTCTAGGAGCTCAGTGATGTTAAACGGAATATCTAACGGGTCATCAAATTCAGAGAACACTTTGACCATTGTCAGGGCCAGCCCCTGATTGTCAGCGAAGGACACCCGCTTCTTCACCTTCTTCTCCTGCACCGTCGGGGCCACCATTCCACTGGCTTCATCCTTGCTGCCCAACTGAATACAAGGTCTTAGTGGCTTGTTCAGCTTTGGGGAGATCTTGAAAGTGAAGCGCTCCCTGCGCAGGGAAGGGGCCATGCTGCTGTAGCTGTACTCTATGTCCACAGCCATCACGGGGTTAGACGAGCAGGCTAGAAGTCTGGCAAAAGGGAGATGAGAGAAAACAGTAGAGGTCAGAGAGATGTTTAAGCCCTCATTCTGGCAGAGACTGGCAAACAATGTTGCCTTTGATCTGGATTCACACTCCCATGTGCTCTCATAGGACACAGGTTTCAGGGAAGGGGGGGTGGGCAGGGCAGACAGGCAGATGGAAAGAGAAGCTAGTTTCAAGGCTAATTCATGGGCCGGGATGTCCTGGGTCCTCCTGCATGCTAATACACCACAGAGATGAATGAGAAGAGCATTAAAAATTATGGCTTCCTATTGTTTATAGAATTACTCATTTATTTGACTAAACCCCCCCTCATTTTGAAGAGTATATACCCCACAAATAGCTGATCTGATTATTTTATTTGGTAAATACTGCAGACTATTATTTGACAAATAAAAATTGTTTCTATTTTAAGGCTGATGAAATGGCTCAGCAAGTAAAGATATTTGTCACCAAGCCTCACAACTTCAATTCCTAGGACACGCATAGGATGGAGGGAACCAGTTCTCACAGTTATCCTTTTAATTTTAAACATACTCCAGGCACACCTGTGTCCACACTAAATAAGTAAACGTGATAAAGTTGTATGTACACATTGTGGAATAGCTGACACACTTAACATGCATTTCCTCATATACTTGAGGGGTGAGATATTTAAAATCTTAGAGTAGATATTTAAAATCTACTCTAAGCAATTTTCAAGTATACATTGTTATGAACTGTTGCAGCCACCATCCTATTACACATTCAAGGTCTTACTTTGTTTAGACTAGACATGGATATGTGCATTTGTCTTTCTGTGATTGGCTTACTGCACTTAGCACAGTGCCCTCTGGGATCATCTCCATGTTTCTACAACTACACCATTTAATTCTTGTCTCTATGAACAGCACCCCACTGTGCATACATACCACATGTTCTTTGTCCACTCATCCACTGAGAGACACTTAGCTAGATCTCATATCTTAGCTATGACTGGTGTTACGTGAATATGGGACTATGGACATCACTTCAAACGTACTGATTTCCCATCCTTTGAATATACACCCTGTAGCAGGATCACTGGATCACGTATTTTATTTTTTGAGAAAACACCACAGTATTAATTTGCATTTCTACTACTTTCATCTTTTTGCAAGATAATCATTTTAACAGATGTAAAGTAAAAGTGCCTCATGATTTAAATAGTAAATACTGACTTAATAATACAAAAGCATCAAATTTATAACACCATGCATCAGGCATTATGCTATTATACACTGGGATTCAATGATCAGAATGGACTCAGATTTATTTCCACAACTTATGGGAGGTTTTTATGTTCTAGTATACCTTTTCTTCAGAAAAAGAATGAGAAGTTTATTTCTTTTTACTTTGACATACAAGTAGATATTTGCTTTGTATGTAGGTGGTAACAGCTGTCATAAGGATTACAAGCAGATGGGAGGCGGTGGTGGTGGCACATGCCTTGACAGTCCAGCACTTGGGAGGCAGAGGCAGGCGGATCTCTGTGAGTTTGAGGCCAGCCTGGTCTACAAAGAGAGTACCAGGGCAGGCTCCAAAGTTACACAGAGAAACCCTGATTCAAAAAACAAAACAAAGAAACAAACTAAACAAACAAACAAAAGAAGAAAAGAAAAAAAGAAAGAAATGTAAAAGTGGCATACAAACATGCAAACTATCCAACCTTAAGAGTAATTTTAAGAAATTCAAATGGAACTTGAATGTGATGGTGCACACTTGTAACCTAAGCTATTCGGAAGGCTGATGGAGGGAGTCTGCAAGTTCAAGGATTGCCTGAGCTGTATAGTGAAATTCTGTCTATAATTAATCAGCTAAACAACCCTGGCTGTCCTGGAACTCACTCTGTAGACCAGACTGGCCTTGAACTCACTGAGACCTGCCTCCCGCTGTCTCCCAAGTGCTGGGATTAAAGGCTTGTGCCACCCCCCCCCCGCTATAAAAAAAAAAAAAAACATTTTAAAAGACATTTTATTATCAAAATTGGTATAATCTTTCTAAGTGTTCTTATCATTTCCATCCCAATATCACATACGATATCACTTACCCTAAATAAGTAATTAAAATGTATAGAAATTAACAAGAAGAGAAATAATGAGAAGAATGCCTGCTATGGATGCCTCATAAACTCAATTGTACCATATTCGTATTATGTAATTAGATACAACTAATTTCATCATTTGAAGAAGTATTTAAGTAGCACAGAAAATATCTTTATTTTGGACTTTGTATCTTTGTTTTTTGAGACAGTGTCTCACTATATAACCCTAATTGACCTGGAGATAGATCTGTAGATCAGGCTAGCCAGAGATCTGCCTGCCTCTGCCTAACCAGTGCTGGGATTAAAGGTGTGGGGCCACTATGCCTAGCTAAAATTTTATCATGTATTGTTAATGTGAAAAGGAGACAAAACTGTATACAAATAGCAGACACAAGAGAAAATACTACGCATACAGAAAAATGAGTAGAGATATAGTATACTCCCATTGGTTTTTTTTTTTTTTTTTATGGTTTCAGCTCTTTACAGTCAGTTGTGGCTCAAAAACATTAAAATGAAAATTCTGCAAGTAAGCAATTCTTCAAATTTCCCACCATTCATTCTGAGCTACATGAGGCCATCCCATCTGTTTCTTCCTGGAAAGCCAATTATCCTTTAACCAGTATATCCACAATATATATGCCACCTGCCCATCAGGGACTTAGAGCCACCTCAGGTATCAGACAGTTGCATTATTACAATGTTGTTGTTCAAGGTACCTTTATTTTACTTAATAACAACCCCAAAGTGCAAGAGCAGTGATGTAAATGAGGTAATCGGGCATATAACATGGAAAGACAGATGGCCTGCGGAACTGTGGAGCTGGGCTTCTGGGAGTATAGAATGTGCAGAGAACATGGGGCTGCCTGGGAACAGCATCATCACCTGTAGATATCAGGGACCATATTTTGGTTAAAAATGTCAGACAATCCATGTGACATATTTCCTTAAGTTGTTTCCTGCTTTGTGTTTCCTTATATCTTCTCAAACAATACTGCTTCTATAATCAGAAAAAAAAATGAACCCTAAGAAAACATGCAAAACCACCCTGACACTTACGCACACCTTTTTATAGTTCTCCTTATGATGGCAGATTTATGACACTTAACAATGGTCTGACTGAAGAAGCGAGTAATGAAGCCTGGTTTGTAATCTCAAAACTCAAGACTTTAGGTTCCAAACAGCTGCTTTCTTCTGGCTAACGTGAAAGGATGAGGAGGTAAAGTAGTTGTGGCAGGGAGGAGCCTTGCTCACAAGCCATCATGGCTGCCTGAAAGGTGACATCTTTTGAGAAGTTGCTCAACCGTTGGCAAGTGCTGAAGGACCATGCATTGGACTCAATAAATACTTTTCTTTAAACTTCCGAATCTGATTAACCATATGTAAAAATGGATCTGAGTTTGGAGCCATCTTGTTCTACAGAGCTACTTCCAGGATAGCCAGAGCTGGGGGGGTGGGGAGTAAGGGAGGGAGGGAGGGAAAGAGACAGAGAGAGAGAGAGAGAGAGAGAGAGAGAGAGAGAGAGAGAGAGAGAGAGAGAGAGAGAGGGGG